GTTGGACATATATATAATGTCCACATATATATAATGTGTGTGTGTGTGTGTGTGTGTGTACTTCTTGCTTCCTGACACTGAAGTCTCATCTTTTGTGTCAGGCCCTACCCCAGCCTTAAATTAAATCATTTCTTTAAAGGGGTCTGTTTTTTGGTTTTGGTCGAAAAGTGATATTTCAAAATCAACATCCAGCTCTAGGCACTAGGTGTGTTGGGTGCTACGGGGTGCCATTCCTTCTAGACTTTCCCAGTGGATATGCTGGGATATGTCTGTATCTATACTAACTCTTGTATACAAGCCCCTCCATGAGTTTACACTGATATTTCTAACTCTAGAACTACATGGTTCATCCTAGCCTTATTCTTTTGCTTATGTATAGTTCTTTCTCTAACAGTGAGAAACTTGGCTCTCATTATCTACAACTTATTTACTGTTTTGCTCAAATATGGAAGGCAGATCCAGAAATGCTAACTCATATCCCTGTGAAAAATTTACAGATCAAAGCACTATTTTATGTATATTGCTTTTTGTCATTAGTCTTGCTTAGAGTTTTAAGTCAAACATTATTTTTCAAGTTGTTTATGTCGACTCCTTTATTACTCATCTCCTTTAGTGAAATTTCCTCATATGTTTGTGATACAGTTAGATATTAACACAGTCTGCATTTTAATCTAGAATCCTGTTATACGCTGATTGATTTATTTTTAATTTGCAAAGAGAGAAGTTGAATTATTGTGGTGTATTCTCAAGGTCTTGATAAGTATATGGAGTCATGAGTCTACCAGCACAGTGTCGTCAGAACATTTCCACAACCCAAATTCCCCTTGTGTGATTCCCTTTAGTCAGGCCCTCCTGTTACCGAACAAGAGGTCCGAGGGAGGGGCAATACAATATTCCGCCCACCTAGGGATGCCGAAAACTGCTATACAACAGGGGCCCCTCCCAAAAACAAAATACTAATATCTACTGGGCTCTTCTGTCCGCCACCAATTGGAAAGACATCTCTCAATGCCAGAGATTTGTGAAAAGGAATCAAAATGTTTATTTAATGCTATTCAGGCCTAACGCCTCCACTAAAATAGCAAAGTCCTTTAGGGTATACACCTACACCCAAACAGCTCCCTTCTCCCACTGTCCCAACTCCGAGTACCGTAAATCAGGAAAAGAGCACACATCCGTGTTGCAGGCTGCTGGCACCATCAGCTGTGTCACCGTGCAGGCAGGATCTCTAGTTAATCCAAAGTACTGTGGTACCCTCTCATGGTCCACTGGCACGAGTTCTTTGTACCCAGTTCCAGTCAAAGTCTCTCTTGCTTTCCAGGCCACACGGCCAAATGGGGCATCCCAAAGCCGCGTGGGCCTCTTCTACCAAAGCTGCAGGGGGTCGCACTCCACCACAAGCATGTGGCTTTCTTCTTCACCTGGCTGCAGGGATCTCCATTTTGCCCCAAACGGCGTGGTTTTCCCTTTCACCTGGGCAGTTATCACCTCATGTCCTGGAGCCCATCTTTTCCAAGCTCTCACGCAGGCCCTTCTCACTCTGGAGCGCAGACCCTAGTTCCATCCTGAGTCCCAGCCACTCCCTTCTCCTTGGCTCCAAACTTGGCCACAGCTATTTAACATTATCTATGAAACCAGTTAAGGGTTATAGATATGTTAAATAATCATTCCAGAGGTTAGCTGCAAAACTATTGCTACGCAAAACAGTTCTCAATGGCCCTGTTCCATTGTCCCTTCCCCCTATAGGGGGGTGTTTGAGGACATCCTATATGTCTCTCCAATATTCTTATACACTTTGAATTCTGGACACCATTCCAAATTCTTTTTTTGGGCCCCCCCCTTGGCTGCACCCTGTATCACTCCTTTCTCTCCCAACCCCTGACATCCATTCCTCTGCTTTCTATACCTATGGTTTTGTTTCTGGGTTATTTTTTTTCTTAGAATGTCATATAAATAAAATACTAAAATATGCAGTCTTTTTTAATTTGATTTCTTGCATTTGTCAGAATGAATTTAGCATTTACTCATGTTCTTCTACAAATCAGTGATTCCTTTTGTTGCTGATGAGTATTCTATTGTGTAGCTGTGCCGTAGTTTATTTATCTATTCACCTCTTGATAGATGACTTAGCTGTTTCCAGTTTTAATGATTATTAATAAAATTGCTGTAAACACTTGTCTGTATGAACATAAATTTTCAATGCACTTGGATAAATACCTAGAATTAGAGTTTCTGCTTGCTATGTTAATTCTATATTTAACATTTTTTGAATGTCAAAGTGTTTTCTAAGATGGCTGTGCATTCCCATCAGCAATGAATAAGCACTTCTATTTGTCTGCATCTTCCCCAGCATTTGGTATTGTTAGCTTTGGAAAAATCAAAACACTACTTCACAGGTATATAAAGATATATCTTTGTATTTTAATTAGCATTTTCCTATTGACTGATATTGAGCATCTTTTTATATATTTACTTCATTAGATATATAATCCATCCCCCCCCCAGTCTCTGGCTTCTGTTTTTATTTCCTTAATACTTTTTTTATAGAACAGAAGTTTTAGATTTTTATAAAATCCAGTTTATCAATTTTATATTTATGGATTGTTCTTTTGTTGTCATAGCCAAAAACTCATTGCCAAACCTAAAATTATACAGATTTTCAATTTCTAAAAGTTTTCTAGTTTCAAACTTTACAGCGAGGTCTATCATCTACTTGGAGTCATTTTTGAATAAGGTATGAGAAATCATGTCAAGTCATTATTTCTGTTTATGGATATCCAATTGTTTCAGTATCCTTTACGGAAAAGACCACCCTCTCTCCGCTGATTTCCTGTATTCCTTTGCCAACAACAGTTGGCTCTATTTATGTTGGTCTATTTCTGAACCTTTTTTCTATTCCGTTGATCTATAATTATCCATCATTTTACCAATCTCATACTGTCTTGATTATGGTAACTTGATAGTAAATTTCATCTTGGTTAATTTCTCTAGTTTTTTTCTTTTTTTAGAGTTATTTAGATTACTCTGGTTTCTTTTGCTTTTCTGTATAAATGTTAGAACTAGCTGTTGAAATATTTTTTAAAAGCTTGAGATTTTGATTATGATTACATTGGATCTATAGATAAAATTGGAAAGAATTTATTTAAATTTTTTTTAGAATTTTGTTTCATCATGATTTAGACTTTTCAACATATAGGTCCTAGACATATTTTGTTAGACTTATAAATAAGCACTATATTTTGGGTGACATTGTCATTGACATTGTTTTTAGTATATAGGCATAGGATTAACTTCTGTATTTTGATACCCCACAGCCTTTCCTAAATCACTTTTTAGTTCCAAGACATTTGGGGCAGTTTCTTAAGGGGGATTTCTACAAGAACAATTCTGTTATGTGTAAGTAGGGACACTTTTATTTTTTTATTCTGAAATCTGTGTGCTTTTTCTTTCATTTTTCCCCAATTCCCTGAAAAGAATATCCAGTGGAATGTTTATAGGAGTGGTAAAAAAAGGACAATTTTGATTTGCGATTTCTCACTATTATGATGTTTATTGTAATGTTTTTATAGATGCCTATTATTAGGCCAAGAAATTTCTCCTCTAATCCAAGTTTTATAGTTTTTATCATAATGTATATAGAATTTTGTTAAGTGCTTTTTCAGCATGTATTGAGATGATTATGTATTTCTAAAATTTATTCTGATAATATGCAAATTATGATTGATTTTTGAATAATGAGTCAGCCTTACATTCCTTTGATGAAATCCACCTGTTTATGATACATTATCCTTTTTTATATAGTGCTGTATTTGTTTTGGGGGGTATTTGATTTGGGGGATATTTTTGAAAGTATGGTCATGAATAATATATCTTTGTATATTTTTATAATACCTATCTGACTTGGGTATTAGGGTAATACCCAGACCTTATGAAATGAATTTTTTCTCTCCTTTTCTCTTCTGAAAGTGATTGCGGCATTATATTTTATTTATTACTTGGTAGAATTCATCATTCAAATCATCTGAGCCTGGATATTTTATTTATGAAAGTTTTTTTTAAACTGAGAATTTGGTAGTTTAATATATATAAGACTAGTTGGGTTTTCTATTCTTCATTCAGTTTTGGTAGCTGGTATCTTTCAAGGAATTCTTCCACTTAATTTAAGTTGTTGAATTTGTTAGTGTAAAGTTATTTATACTATTTTTCTCTTATTTCTTGAAATAGATGCTTAAGTTGCTTAGTAAATGGCTTCATATTTCACTGTCTTAAAATTCATGATGTGAATTAATATTATAACAGCTCTGAGAAATTTGAAGGAAACTAAATTTTTAATCTCCTTATCTTCTAGCATAAAATAAGTAATACTATCTTATGAAATTTTAATAATGAAATAAAAACACATATAAAACAACTGTGGCTTGGGTATCATATAGTACATGGTAGATAAAAACTTGTGACTATGATTTATGATTTATAATAGTTGTGAGTGGTGTTTTTGTCACTGTTTTATTTGATTTATGTCATTAGCTCTAAGCTTTATAAGTTGGGGTGGGTATGAAGGAAACATAATAAAATCCTGGAATGCAAACTCTAGAAGTCACAGAGATAAATATGAGTTTTACCTCTTCCTTCTATTATTATTATAGTTTATTTATTATTGCTTTATTATAGTGTGTTGCATTCATTTTAAACACTTCCCACCCACTTCGTCTACTTCAACCTACCTCCAGAATCAATGATTGATATCCATGGGAATAATTAGCGATTTACAAGTACATTATAAAGAGAATGAGGCTGCGCCACACCACAGAAGGTGCGCCAAATATGAGCAATAAGTCTGGACTCAGCATAATGTCTTAAGCCTTCCTTATTCAGTGATATCACCAAGAAAGTGCTGTGCACTCAGAATTCAAAATACTCTCCTCCCCAACTGCTCTCCCTGGTTTCCTTAGTATCTTTTTAGGAACTTTATTGACACTTTGCTTTCCTTTCTTAAACAGGTGGGCTCTGCATTGCCCAGTCCGTGAGAATACCCCAGGAGCGCAAAGACAGGACCATTGACTTTGATAGAATTATCAAACAACTCCTGGACACCCCCAACTCCAGGGCCGTCGTGATTTTTGCCAATGATGAGGATATAAAGTAAGGATGACTGGTGAAATTTGTTAATATGCATGTTGCTACTTTGAGAAGTGAAAAGATCAGGATACCAGCAGAGAAAGGGGGAAAGAGAGAGCAAAGAATCAAATCTATAATCACATAATGGCAAAGGGCTCAGGAGTTTTTCTACCCCACACAAGTAATTATAGTGAGCCATAGAAGCTGCAGTATGTTGCTGTCCTCTCCTAGATTTCCTACCTATAAGCAAAGTAATGTATTGTTACTTATGGAAAGAGAAAACCACTAACATTTTATAGTTTCTTTTATTAAAAATATATCCAAATGTAACAGACTTTTATCCAGAGATGGTTCTCCTTAATGTAAATGAAAAAATGTCATAATTCCATAATTCTGGCTGTATCTCTACAGCTTTAGATTCAGTATGTTCAAAAAACATGCAAGTTATAGCTCTACATTCTCAATCTACTTTTTCCTCTCCTTTTCCTTATCTTGATATTTATTGGAGTAAGAAATCTGATTATAGCCCTGGCTGATGTGGCTCAGTTGTTTGGAACATTGTCCCATAAACCAAAGGACTATAGGTTCGATCTCCTGCCCGGGCACATACCTAGGTGGTGGGTTCAGTGTGAGAAGCAACTGGTGGATGTTTCTCACATCAATGTCTCTCTCTCCCTCCCTTCCCCTCTCTCTAAAAATCAATAAGCATTATGTCCTCAAGTGAGGATAAAATTTTTTTTATTGTAAACTTGTTTCTTTTTGCTCGTTTGTTACTTGCTTGGCCAAGGCACTTAGAGCTAACCATAAAAATGTTTCTAGAACATAAATAACCCCTGCTTTCTTTTCTGACCAGGGCTGCCCTTGACCAGAACACTTTTTCTTCCTTCCTCCCCTCCTTCCTTCCTATTTTATTTTTAGAGTTAATAGTAATTATATCTGATAAAAAAAACTCAAAAAATATAAAAAGATTTGGGTGAAAGAAAAATTTCATTCATTCTGTTTCCTAGCTGACTTCTTTCCAAATGAATTGTCTAATTACCACTTTCTTTCATATTCTTCTAAAATAGTCTATAACTTTACATGTGTACATCTTCCTTTGGTCCCTGCTATCCTTTACTTACCATTTTATCTCGGGGTCCCTGAATGTCAGTATCTATACATCTATTATGTGTTAGCAGCCATCCAGAGTTTAATTTTATATCTGTACTATGATTTCTATAACTGCTTCCTTTTGATTGACATTTAAGTTTAATTACAGATATTTGCAATTTTAAATAATACGGCAGTCAACTTCCTTTTTTCACAAATCTGTGTGCACAAATATACACATATATGATGCTATAACATATATGTATGTGAATATATAACAGAAATATAATACAAATGTATAATATACCAATACATTATTTTATATGTATATGTTATATGTACTTAAAAATTCCTAGTAAGAAAGTTTCCAGGACAAAGATATGTTCCTTTTTAAAAAAATATGAGTATTCTCTTATAAAGAGGTTATACAGGTTATACTTGTATTGATATGAAAGAGTTGTGTTGGTTTTACTAAATATTTGTCTTATAATTTAATATACTATATCATTGGATTTGAAGCTTACTCTCTTTTATCAAGGGTAAAGTGTAAAGGTCCAGCCCATTATTCTCTCCAACTTAGATTATTGCATTATCGTCATGGCCAGCCTCCCAGTCTGTGTCTCCCCTCCACGTGTACCCTTCATGCTGCCTCTGAATCCATCCCTGTTGCCAGTCTTAAGCTCTGATCATGGTTGGCAGGGCTGTTTAATGGACAGAGAATTATACCTGAAGTTGGGATACCTGAAGTTTTTATGTTGCTTACATGAGCACTGTCTCACTTTTGCAAGTGTCTTGACCCCTGCCCTGCTTCCCAACTTCTTGAGGCATCAGTTCTCCCATCAACACAATGAAAATACTTTTGAGCTGTTTTTACGGAGATCCTGCCTCATCCCACTCCTGTCTTATTTTAGTCCACACTCCGTCACCTTCTGTACACTGCAGGCATGGGAGCCATTTGTGTTTCCTCCCACCTATATCTCTGGACGTTATCGTCCACCTACCTTGAACACTATTTCTTCCTCACTTCATCAGCCTAATGCCATCTCTACTACTGCTTTCTGAACAATGTTGACTTCTCTGAATAATGAAGCTTTGGTGAATTCTTCATAGTTTATGTCACTGATGTCATTTTACATCATTTTATTGTTTATTTAGTGTTTGTGTTCTCTGATGGACTATAAGCATCATTAGGATAGAGATGATGTCTCTTATTTTTTTATTCCAGCCTGTGCTACATTGATCTTTTAGAACTTCTTCCAATTTATGGCATCTGTTACCAAAATTATTTTTAAATTACAATTTACAGTCAATATTACTTTATGTTACTTTAGAGGGGGATAAAAAGTTGCAGTACTTATATTATCAATCAAGTATTACCCAGCCATTAAAAAGATTATAATCTTACAATTTGTGACAGCATGGAAGGACCTAGAGGGTATCATGGTAAGTGATATGTGACAGAAAAAATACAAATACCGTATGATTTTACTCACATGTGCACTCCAAAGAACAACAAAAAAATGAACAAACAAAATACAAACAGACTCACAGATGCAGAGTATAGACTGATGGTTGTCAGAGGGGAAGGGCTTTGGAGGGCTGGTGAAAATGGTGAGGGGATTAAGAAGTACTAATTGGTAGTTACAAAGTCATTAAGGGGATATAAAGTACAACATAGGGATTATAGTCAGTAATGGTGCCTCTTTTGACTTCCTTTAGTATCCTCAGTCCCTATTACAGTGCTTAGCACATTGGATATGGTCCGTAAATGACATTCAATGGAAGAATAAGATGCCTAATCTAATGCCAACTTTTTAACAATTTAAATATATGCTTGCCTTTCTGAACTCCATGATGCCTTAAAATGTGGTTCCATTTTAACATTTATGCCTTATCTTCACTTGTCCAGTTCTTCACCCAAAATACATGATTCTGGTTTTCCAACGTGTCCTAATCACTACTGCACCATGACCTTTCTTTATTCCATGGTATTTCTTCTCTCCTCTACCTGTTGAAAGTGTATCTGTTCTTCAAGGTTTATTGCATACATGCTCTCCATGGAAACTGTTCCTGATCACCCCTTAAATGTATTATTGATCTCCTGTGTCTGACTTATGCCAACTCTACCGACATGCTTCTTAGTCATCTCATAAACCCTTTTTATACCTACTTCACACATTTGTAAATATATAATACATTGATAAAGTATGGCTTCACATTTATTTTTAAATACATTATACACAGCACACAAAGTTTTACTGAAAATAGCAATGGTAATGAGTTGGTTTTAATACTCTTGATTTTTAGGTAATGTGAGGTGCAATTTGGGATGTAAAAATGTATAAATCCTCTCAATCACTATGGTCATTCTTTTGGTGTTGGAGCTTATTTGTGTCTTTTGAATTTATATTGTGATTCATAGTATTGATAGCAATAATAGCTCAAACACAATAATAGAATTCAATATATATATATATATTTCTTCCAAAGCATAATCTCAAACACGCTGATATCTGAAGAATATTAATGACCTACAATGTTATGTTACTTCTGTTTTCAGGAAATTTATATGGTAGATGGAAATTTTTGAGATTTCTTAGAACATTAATTTCAAATACTTTGTCAGAGAATTGCAGTGAGAAGACATTAGCATCTAGATTTCTGAAACTAGGATGCTAAATCAGTCATAGGTATTAATAATTTGGATTTTAGACAAGAGCGAATTATTTTCTGGGACACTTTAACCTGATTATAAAAATAATATACAGCTAGTTTAAATCCACTGGAAACTGTGGAGAAGTTTTTGCTGTTGCTCTTTAATATAAGGACTCTTAAATTTACCATGCCCTCTGATTATCTAGAAAAATTGAAGGTGAGAGAAAAATCACAAAGTAGGGTTTTAGGGAATCCCTGTGAAATATGCAGTCCTAACACTCACAGATAACCACAAATAAAATTCTAGTTTAGTGTTTGTAATTATTTCTTTTTAAACATATGTAAGTTTTCCCCAGCAGAACATCGATCACATTAAAATTTTTATTTTACATTTTGCAATTCACATTCCACTTTAAAAAAACAAGTATTTTAAAGTGATTTAATTTTATTTATCTCAATAAATAACCCTATAGTTTTACATAAATATGTACGGTAAATGAACACTTTTAGTATTTATGTCAGTTTCTTCTTTCCTTTCTTGTTTCACTTAGTTTCTCACCATCTTTTCATCTTCTTCAGAATTCATTAGCACCTCCTCAATGAATGGCTGTTGTTAATAATAAATTCTTCTTATGTATCTATTTCTATTCATTTAAGCTAAAAAAATTTACATTTCTATCACCTTCTCACCCTCTCTCTGCCTATGGTGTCCATAGTTTTTTGTGGTCTCATATGAATGACACTATACTTTTAACTGCATATATATCCAAATGCAGGAAATTTTCAGCCAGCTTTCATGATATAATAATTGAACAATCTTTTGCAGTTTTTAAATTTAAATTTTCTTTTATAAAAATACCTTGTAGAAATCACCACACTAAGTATATTTTTAATTGCTCTCCATCCATTTTTTGGATGTGCTGTTGCTTAACCAGTTCCCTGTGCTCTGCATTCAGGTTGACCCCAGTAAGGAGCATACAGTTTTGGCAGTACGTTTGCTTATTTCCTTTGGGTAGATCAATACAAACTGTACCTGTAGGTCAACTATAAATCATTGATTGTATGTTATTTTATTAAGATAATAAATCCATATTTTTGAAAATATGACTAAAGCAATGTTGATTCAAAAGATTGCATTCCTGTCCTATTTCTCTAAACTCCTTGAACTCTTTCTCTTTGAGCAACAATTTTAATTTTTTAAGCTATTTAAGGCTTTCTGCATAATGTGCCTATATTATAATTTTTTAATTATTCATTTTAAATATTTATTAATTACTTTGATGTTAGGTAGAATTTGGCTCAATTTGTTCTCTTATTGTCCTAACATCACTGTATCTGATTTCCATTTACTATAAATCAGTGTTTACATGATTGTTTGTACATAAGATAATCTGTGAGTGTCATTACTTTTCTTGGGTACTTCCCTCCTGAAATCTCCACCTTTCTTTATCTTTATATTTTCAGGTTTTTAAAAAATTCTTACAGATAGTTTATTTCCTCATTTTACTGGAGCCCTCCTCCAATAACTTTCTTTTTTTTTAAATTAAATTTATTTTTTTAAATTGATTATGCTGTTACAGTTGTTCTATTCCCCCCTTCATTCCCCTCCACCCTGCCCCCCGCATCCCCACCATTACCCCCCTTTAGTTTATGTCCATGTGTCTCAAGTCCTTTAGGTTCTATATTTCCCATGCTATTCTTGCCCCCCCCCCATCTATTTTCTATCTACTGTCTATGCTACTTATTTTCTATACCTTCTCCCCCCATCTCCTCCTCCCACTCCCCTGTTGCTAACCCTCCTTGAGATCTTCATTTCTATGTTTCCACTCCTGATCTAGCTGTTCTTTTAGTTTGCTTTCGTTTTAGATGTGGTTGTTAATAACTGTGAGCTTGTTGTTCTTTCACTGTTCATGTTTCTTTAACTTCTTTTTCTTAGATAAGTCCCTTTAACATTTCATATAATAAGGGCTTGGTGATGATGAACTCCTTGAATTTGATCTTATCTGAGAAGCTCCTTATCTGTCCTTCCATTCTAAATGAAAGTTTTGCTGGATAGAGCAATCTTGGTTGTAGGTCTTTAGATTTCCTGACTTGGAATATTTCTTTCCAGCCCCTTCTTGCCTGTAAGGTCTCTTTTGAGAAATCTGCTGACAGCCTGATGGGGACTCCTTTGTAGGCGATTGTCCCCTTAGCTCTTGCTGCTTCTAGGATTCTCTCCTTCATTTTAATTTTGGCTAATGTAATTATGATATGCCTTGGTGTGTTTCTTCTTGAGTCCAACTTTTTTGGTACTCTCTGAGCTTCTTGGCTTTCTTGGAAGTCTATTTCCTTTGCCAGATTAGGGAAATTTTCTTTTATTATTTGTTCAAATAATTTTTCCACTGGTGGTTGTGTCTTTCCCCCTTCTGGTACCCCTATAATTCGGATATTGGAGCGTTTAAAGATGTCCTGGAGGTTCCTAAGACTCTCCTCATTTCTTTGAATTCTTGCTCCTTGACTCTTTTCTGTTTGGCCATTATTTGCTTTCTTCTGGTCCACTCCATTGATTTGAGTCCCAGTTTCCTTTTCATCTCTATGGGTTTCCTGTGGATTTCCATTAATTTCCCTTAGTTTAGCCTTCATATGTTTCTCTAATTTGTGGCTATAATCCACCAGATCTGTTAGGATCCTGATGACCAGTGTTTTAAACTGTGCGTCTGAGAGTTTTGCTATTTCTTCGTCGCTTAGATTTATCTCTGGGGCTTTGAGGTCTTCTTGCGACATTTTTGGTCTGTTCTGGCGCTTTAAATGTGAGAAGCGGTGCCTTGGACTCCCAGGTCGCTGGGTTGTGACGCTGTATGTGGGGGCGTGGTCAGAGCGGGGAAATGGTGGCACCCGCTACTGCCGCAAGCCACGGGGACCGCGGGGGGGGGGGGGGGCCCAGTCCAACCGCCCACTCCCTCACCCATCCGCTCGCCCGCAGACAGGCAACCGCAGTCAACATGCAGCACCGCCTCCCCACCGTCTCCTCAGCAGTCGCTCACCCGGTGGGTCGCTCGGTCGCTCACTAGGTCCAATCCTGGGCCTGGAACCCATGTGTCTGGATTCGCGCGTCTGGACTCCGCGCCTGGGTCCGTCTGACCGGAGTCCTTCTGTGCAACCCCTCACGAGACGCCGGTTTCGCCCCTTACCGGTCGGGCTGAAGAATTTGTTGTTAACGGACTTCCGAAAAGTTCAATTTTCCGTGTTCTGGTTGTGTTCTCTGGTGCTAATATTTAGTTGTCCCTAAACTTGGTTGTGTTAGAAGGCACGGCACATCCACCTATACCTCCATCTTGGCGGAAGTCCTCCAATAACTTTCTAATAAAGGGTAAATTGAAGAAAAACATTTTTGTCTTTTATGCCTAAAAATGTTCTTATTCTGCCTCCACACTTAGGAGTTGGGAATGTAAGGTCTGGACTCATATTTATTTTGAAATACATTGTACCTGATACATAAATTACACAGGAAATAGCTATGGTGACTAATGAGTTAGAGAACTAGAAAGTTTCAGGGAGCTTAAAGTTCCAATTTTGGATGGCAAAATCTGTAATATCCACTGATCATGTTAATTCTACTTGTATTGGAATTCCTTATGTGTTGCATATTAGAATTATAAATTATAAAATAATTTTTCTTCAGAATTTGTGAGACATTACTCCACCATTCTCATTTTTTTCCTCTGTGAGAAACACAGAGGGAAAAAATAAGAAATTTTTCTTATTTCTGTGCATGAATCCTTATTTTCTCTTGAAAGGTTTTAAAAATATATTTTATTGATTATGCTATCTTTTGAAAGTTTTTAAGATAGTCTCATTATTTTCAAAAATCTTAAATTTTATGACATGCTTGTGTTTTTTCAAGATTATGCTGGGTGAGTCTTTTTAATATAAAAATGCGTACTTTCAATTTACTCAATTTTTATTTATTAAATCATTTTACTTTATTTTCTCTGCACATTGTTCTGGAAATGTTATTATTTGGATATATGTCTTCTCGAATTCATTCTTTAAAGCATTTATCTTTTTCTGTTTATGTTCTTCCCTTTTGTTTTAGTTTTGCTGTCCTGGAGAAATTTTTTTCATCTTCTAAAACAAATTTAATTACATATTCTTAATAACTAACCTATTTCTTTTTTTTGTTCTGTTTTAAATTTTTTATTGTATTTTTCCATTACCATTTAACCCCCTGATATCCCTCCCCCCTGCAATCATCATATTGTTGTTTATGACTAACCTATTTCTTGGTTTCTATCTTGCTCTTGATCAGAGATATGATAGCTCCCACTTAAGTGCATTTTGGTGGGGGGGATTCATACATTTTCTCTGTCCCACCCACACTGTTTTTCCCTTATTAAAATTTTTTAATTTCTTTTTTACATTGGCAATTTTCCAAAATTATGGGTGATTTCTAGCAGTTCGCATTTGGATAAGATACTAAAAAGTTCTATGCACTGTCAGTTGTGGATAGAACATGTCTCAGTGGACTGGTCAAGTTTTATTAATGAATCTATGTCAGTATCAAGGACTTTTGCGGGGGGAGTAGTTCATATATTTCCAGAAAAGCTGTTTTCTGTCTGAGAGAACACACCATTGGTTTCCAGAATTCTGTAAATTTAATAAAGGGTCTTATCATTTTAATACTTAATGGTAACCTAAACTTCCCCCCCTCACCCTCATCACCCTCATGTTTAATTCATAGTCGTTCACCCACAACCTCCTGCTGTTTGGATATTCACAATATCAGAACCTATATTTTAAATATTTGTTAGAAAATTACCATTTCATATCCTGCATGGGAGAAGGAGAAGAAAACTTATTTTTTGTTGTTGTTTGTTTCTTGGTTTGTTTGTTTGTTTTGCCATTCTATACATAATCTTTCCACTACTCCTACTGAATTTAGCCATATACCTCTCTGGTACTTGGTAGCTCCAAGTCCTGAGAGGCAAGCAAACCACTTCTCCTTTGGTATTACCCACCACTGTGATTTTAGTTGTAGCTTTCTCTGTTCTATAAATGCAGTTACCTCTTATCTATCCTATGTTCTTCCAAAAATATTATTGCAATAACTTTTCCATGAATAAATAGTCTTTTCTTTTTAATTAAACTAGCTCTTTTACAATGGCAAGCACACCTTTGTATCATAAGTAACACAAACACAAGTTTTTGTGTGAAAGTTAAATTCTACAAATAAATGGTATAAATAATGATAATATGAAAATACTTTGTGTATTTGAATATTAGTATTTGAATGCCTAGTCGCCCTTCATACACACATACGCACACATAATTTTACTTATAAACATTGGTTGTATGTTTTTTCAAGCTTACTCTGAAGTTCTGTACATTTTACTTAATAATTTAAAACCCTTCATTTAGACTGACATGTTGCTTTCTCATTCACCAGCAGTGAATGAGAGTGTTTATTTCTCCAGTCCTATGCCAAACTCAAAACACAAAATAAAGCAAACATTTTGGCCAATACAAAGAGTGAATCTGATCTCTTGTTCTAATTCATATATCTGTCCTTTCTAATGAATGTGAATGACCAGCTTATTGATCATTTATAGTTCTCCTTTTATCTGTTGACTTTTAATACTCTTTGTCTATTTTCCTCAAGCTGCTTTGATGATTTTCCTTATTGGTTTACAAAATCTCTTTATATATTAAAGTTACAAGTCCTTTTGGCTTACATTTTTGGCTTTAATTATGTATTCTTTGAGAAATGGTAGCTTGCTTTCCTTCTGCTCGATTCCTAATTTGCATACATTCAACAGCTGTTCTTTGTCATAACATAATTTTTCATGTTTCTTTCTGCAGGCAGATCCTTGCAGCAGCCAAAAGAGCCGACCAAGTGGGTCATTTTCTTTGGGTGGGCTCAGACAGCTGGGGATCCAAAGTAAATCCACTATACCAGCATGAAGATATTGCAGAAGGAGCCATCACCATTCAGCCCAAGCGAGCAACCATAGAAGGTAGGGATTTTGTCAGTTTATGATATGCTAAGACAGTGGCTGGTGCTATGTAGGGTGTTTAAAGCATGTGTCTCTTTGAGGGTTTGACATTGACACAATTTATGCTCTCCTTTAATTTGGAAAGAAAAATTATTTCTAAAAGAAGACACTGCGAAGAAGAAAAACTACTCTGCTGATATCCTGCTTTGTGCTTCTTTTCTGGTGGGCCAGGTCTCCAAACATGCCCTGAAACATGCTTTGCACATTAAAAGCTGCTCTATCCTTTCACTAAAAAAGAGATCAAATATTTGCATTTCTTTCTATTCTGTTTCTGTTCCAATCTAATTAATTATTCTCCCCAGAAGTCTGCACGGTCTGTGAACACCTTCTGAAACAAGGTGGGTTGTGGCTCTGTCACTGTTGCCTTTCTGTGTTATCCAGGGACATAAAGATCCCACAAGTCCCTCATGCATTCACTGGGAAGTTTGGAACTAATTTCATTTCCTGGTACGTGTCTGGAGAAGAGTGCCTATTTTACTCCCTAAACCAATACATTTGCAGAAAGGCACAAGAATATAAGATGTTTTAACTCTCTCCAGTCCTTTTTGTTAAAAAAAAAAAAAACAACTTGAATGTCTATGGTATGCCTTCTTCTTTGCTAAAGCTAGTAAAACAAGATGAGTACCACAATGCTTACCCTCAAAGCTTACAGACCTGAATGTGTCAGAAAGTAGTTGTGATTATATAACATATGCAACACCCTAGCGAAATACAAAATAGATGTCCCAAGGTACAAAGCAGATACTGTGGAAGGTTCTCCAAGGTGCTGATGTTGTGGTTGGGGAAGACTCCTGAGAAGAGGTTAAACATAGAGGGGTGCCTTAGGACTCATCAGAAAGATCATGAAAGAAGCCCCAGCAGAAGCTTCTGAACTAGGAGATAAGACCGGGGGAGTGAAGAAGCACGGTGCATTGGGTAAATGTAAATAATTCATTCTACAGCATGGTCTTGCAATGATAGTCATCCTAAAATTCTTCCAGTTCTTTAAAAATGTTCCCCTTTACAGGATATTGGGAAAACCCTTCCCTCTTCTAGCACATCACATGATACACTATTTGGCTGACTGACTCCTTTCTATCCTTTGGGTGTCAGCTTAGATATTAATTGTCCTTGCAGACATCTGTGATCATTCCCCCCAGCGAAGTCTGAGAAAGGAGCTTTCTATTTCTTTCATAGTATCCTACATATTCACTGCCCTTGTAGTGCCTCTGTACTTGTCTCTCTCCGGAAATGTATCTGTTACAAACCATGGTACCCTTAGCACCTAGATCTTGGCCTGGATATAGCATATTTTTCAGTGGTTGGATGCCTGGGTGGATGGAAGAATCACAGATGACATAAAAACCTGGCATAAAACCTGGTGGCAAAATTGGCCCGAGTTGAGGAATCTTGGAAACTACACTATGGAATTTGTACTTTATTCTGAAATCCTGAGCAGCATCTGTGGATATAAGTGGAGTGTGATCAGAGGGGGTAAGAAGACTCACTCAGGTGTCTGTGTTGGGGAATGACATGTAAGAGTGGAGTGAGACTCTAAGGAAAGCAACAGATTAAAGCATCTCTACTGTGGTCCTCTCTGCCTAAGCTATAGATGCCACACAGACACAAATGTCCATACTCCATGGTTACTAGCCCCAGTTTCAAGATATTTTAGGAAATTAGTATCTCAAAAGTTTTACAAATTCTTGAAACAGACTACATTTTTGCATGTATATTTAGGGATACACAGAGTTATTCAATTAGATACAAAACCATATCCTGAATCTTCCAAAAAAATGTCATCTCAACCATTAAATGGGAGAGAAATATTATTAGCTATGAAAATATTATTGAAATGTGAAGTAGCAAATCTACATGCAAAACTCTTCACTCCTACCCAGATAAAGTAATGATTTTCATTTGTTTAGAAGTGTTGTGACTTCTATCTAGTCACATTTTCTTCTGTATTGCTACAAAGTACAGCCAAGATGGAACATCAAGATTGTGCCCATGCATTTACAGTGTCATATCCTAAGGAAATGAAATAAGAAATGCATCAATTGCACCAAGGTTTCTGAACAAAGCAATGAAATATCTCAAATGAAACTGTAAGTGCAGTATATTGTATTATGGGCAAATAAGCTCTTTTTCCCTGCCTACTTTTTTTCCTTAACTTTTTTGAGGATGTTTCATATTGAATTCTAATGGTTGGAGCATCATCCAAATACTTATAATATTGGTACATCCCTTTATCTTTGTGTTATATAATGCTATACCTTCACATGTAAATAGAAAAAGGTCAGTCAATAATAAACATTTTTTCTTTAGATCCATATTTTGAAGATGTTATGTAAACATCTGAATTTTTATTGTTTATTTTATGTATCTGCATAAATAATTAACAATAAATTACCTTAGGCCAAAGTGCTAGCAACTACATTGCCTCTGTGAGAGTAGTGTCCATCTTCTTTTATCTTCTATCTGTGTTTATTCTTTATTTACAGAAAAAAAGGGCTTTTGTGTTTGCTATCCAAGGGTGTCATTTATTTCCTTTTCAAATTGATGATGATAGGAACTGTGCCCAGACAGTTCACTGTGGCCCCTCTGGCTGCCTGGTGCTTCATGGGAGATCTCAGAATGTCTCCAGAACTTGGCAGCACTCCTCCAGCTCCTGAGCCAAAACAATTCTGTAATTTTTACTGTCCCTGAATTGTTAGCTGAGCCGAGAGATCACTGGCGTATTCCTCTCTTCTGTTGCCCCATTAACTAGGACTCTGTCATCCTCTCCAGCCTCCAGCAAGCCCACAAAGAAAAAAAAAGCTGCCCAAGTCACTCTCTACTCTCCTCCAAGGTGCTCGGCTGTCTGAAAGTAGGCTGTCCTAGACATCCTCTGATTACAGCTAGTGAGGATCATGAGCCAGCATCTTTTCATCTGTGCCATAATCACTAACGTTAGGGAGCTAGTGTAATGAAGGGTGGATTTTCAGGGCTAACTATAATGGCTCTGACGATTGATAGATGGTTTTCAAATGGGTGTGTGGAACTTGTTTTCTGAACTAAGTATGAAATATATGTTAGAAAACACAAAAAGTGCCCTGGACCCAACATACAAAGGTTAGTTATTTCATGCTTTTTTATTCAAGATTGCCATGAATGCTTGATTTATTTTTCCTAAAATCATCAAGATCAAAGCTATGAAGAACTGAACCAAAATATTCATGTCTCCTATTTGGATATGCCCTACTTTAGCCTGCCTTGATTCCCTGGAATGCCCCATGCATCACAGGGTTTTATTAGGTGAATGGGAGAAAAACATCAAGAAAGGATGTATTGCTTTGAACCACAATACTAATTCTAAGTGATGCATATGCCTTTTAGACCTGTGGCATTGTTCAATAAGAGCTCTGTCAGAAGAGTGCATACTCAATGTCATGACAGTTTCTTTCATTAAGCTTTTCATAAATGCATATAAGCTCTAGCAAGGTGTTAGGCATGAAGTTAAACACCTGAGGTATGTATATAGCAGGTGACAATCTACATCAGGTTCCTGCTCTCATGAAGTTGCTGTCTTAATGTACAGGTGTCAGGTGATAAAAATATATAAATAGGAAAATACCATATTAGCATAATTACTCTAAAATACATTCCCTTAAAGACCAGCTTGTAAGTTGCAGAGATGTGCAGGAAGAAGAGGAGAGACCAGACAGCCTGGATCTGATGCAGGTCAAAGTAAAGTCAGAGAGGACGTGGACACAGGTCACTAGCTCAAGCCTCTGCAGGCTGTTCTAGATTCCCAGCACATGTTCCTATCAGATCCATATATTGCCTAAACCTACTAAGATTTCTCATTTCCCTATTTCTTATTGATCTGGAAAATAAATCATTTCTTCAAGACAGATAAAATCATTAATTTTTTAAAAGACTTGCTGCTTTTCCCAGAGTTAGTCTACTCTGCAAAATCAAACTCATTGCTTCCCCAATTCAGACTGTGCCACATGCCCCCTCTACAGCAAATGTCAGTCATACTCACATTTGCACGCAGCACTTACAACTGGATTCTGAACCCTGAGGGCAGTGCCTAGAGCCTGTGGGTTCCCTGTGATTGTCTATCTCTATTCCCATACCTTCAGCAATTATTATAGGACCTAGCGCATAGTAAGTTTTTTAAATGCTAAATTTACCTTTTCTTGTCTATTATATCTGCATTTATCTGTAATACCTAAATATGCAAAGGACTGAATGTTTGTACGAATTTGAAGTTTTCTTAGGATGGGGAAATATTCATCCAAAATGGTTTGTCTCTTTGACTTTTTTCCTAAGACATTTAGTAGAAAGATGCATTTAACTCTCCAACTCAGGATCTCACCAGAAATTTCAAATGTGGGTTTGTGCACTTTTTTTCTTTTCCTCTTCTTGGAAGTAAGTACCTCTTGCCTTCTTTGTTTGTCTTGACTTTCATTTCAATTTTAGAGGGACTTACTGTACCAGACTGGCACAATGGCTCAATTAAATGATTTGCCTTAGTTCTGAATCCCCAGGAAACAGAAAGTGCCTCAGTTTGTCTTAGACTTTCCAGTGGACTCCTTCTTTGCCTACTATACTGCATTTATGAGTAGAAGGGACTGAGGAAGAGAAAGCAAGCAGATCAGAAGGGTGAGAATATCTGTGTGAAGAATTATAGCATTTTTGTGTGATTTTTTAAAGTTGAGGTTATTGACCTTGAGCAAGAGGTAAGAAAGGTAAACAGAGAAATCTGTAACCTAGATATCTAAGGAGATCTGAGAACAATGAATTAACTTGGAGTTGTTTTACATGTATGCAGTCCCAGATTTGAAGCTGCACTGTCTCTTGTCTAATGGGTTAGATGCTCTCTTAGCTAATTTCACTTCACTGGCCAAAATTCAGTTCTTAACCAGCAAAGATGTAAAATGTCCATTCTCTTTGAAAGATGTACTATCTGATGCCCAGTACACTGAACACTC